AATATTACTAATTTTGCGATGCTCTTTCAAGCTGTGATGAAATATTTGTCTAGACTTGCCTAGATCAAAATTTTGGTTATAAGGGGAAAGGTCTATTCTTCGCGAGAAATTGTGTCTGCGAAATACGGATGGTTGCACATGAACGATTCCATTGAATTTTCCCACTTTGTCCGCTTTCGCAGTGACTAGAACTGACTTCTACTCACTGGTGAAGCGAATTTTTTCTCGCGAAGCCTAATTTATCTTGACTGCGCATGCACCTACTTCATTTCGAGCGAAATTTTTCGCCGAAGAAAGCGCCCATGGAATCAGGCCTTTACGACTGCAGTTAAATACAAAAGTGGAATTCGAACTCACATTGAAACAATAAACGTTCTGGGGCCAGTAGCTTAATCCTTGATTAGCGTAAAACGTTAAGCGCTACCTCACTTTGAACAACCCAGTTTCCTCTGTTGTTCTCTGCGTTGCAGTGTCAGAATTGTGTAATATGGTAAAGGTTTTTCACATTTCTGAGGACGATTTTGTATTAATATTCATGCGACATGAATGTCGAGTCTCTTACCATTATGATACGTGAGGCGTTGAAGAAGTTTTGCTTTTGCTGTGAACACACGAATACTGAAGTCCCAGTGACCAGCGGTGATCACAAGCTTTGCATCATGGGTAACAGCAAATATATGAGGGCCAATCTCGAGGTCAGGAGCAAATGGAGCTGCTAAACATCTAGGGAAACGAAAGAAACAATTCTGGAATGTGATATAGTTGGTTTACATACTAACGGTTATTGTATTGGTAGGTCTGCACAAACAACTTAATTATTCGTACTTCAAATATTGACACTTTTGGAAGAATGAAAATTAAGCTGCATCCCTCAGTTCTATTTATTAGCTACCATATACAAGGCTACTATATTTTATAAAAGGAATTAAGATAATCTCAATTTGACAACTGCTGGTTAACTAGCATCTGTTGAACGAATGTGTTTAATGAAACCACATTTTAGAAAAGAATGAACTGTAACATATTAAAGAATTTATGCACTTGTCATTGGAGACCCCCATTCACCTCCACCCCGGAAAGTAGTGCAAGAAAACCCCACCCATAGGGGCAAGGGGTTTCCAACGACAAGTGCATTATCATAGTGATCTGAAATAATATCCGTTATAGGTTACCCCTTCTTCGTGTTTCAAGTAAATATTTTCGTGTGTAGAATGTGTGTTTGTGTGAGAGGGGGGGGGGGGGATTGACAGATTAGGGCGTTTCCCTTTTCCCGGTGAGGTAAGCCTGCTAATTAACTGCCTCTATTTCTCGAAGAGTTAGTTTCTCTCCTCTTTCGCTAAGCCAAGGAAGTGCGTCGACCGGTAAACCAATAATGCGTAAACTTCTCTTTTGAATACGTTCAAGGTCGTTCACTAAGTAGAGACGTAGGCCATCCCAAACTGGTGCAGCATATTCAAGCAGGGGTCGAATTTTGGTGCAGTAAGTTGCAAGACCGACTTCCGTATGAAGGTGGGCCTTCTTACACTGCCTTTGATGGTGTATAATCTCCTAATTACTTTACGGGTAATTTCTTTAATGTGAGAATTCCATTTCATGCTACTTTGACAGCCAACACAAAGTAACTTGAATGTACCTACTCTTTCGATCATATTATCCGCGGTGTAAAGATTGGGTGGCTGTGGAATAGATTTCCCAAAGCAAATCCACATATCTTTCGTTTTCGTCGCATTCAACTTCATTTTTGTCAGTATCTGACCAGTTCTGAACAGAGCTTAAGACTTCCTGCATGTTGCTACGCTCTCTCTTCACGATGCATTCACTTTGTGTACACTCGTGAGCATTTTGTGCTTCGAGAGTATCCGATCAGATACTTCCTCTTAAAACCCTCAGCTGTTGAATTACGTGTGTCCCGAGTCTCTGACTCTGGTGAATTGGGTAACTACACCCTGTCTAATATATTAATGATTATAACCATAATTATGTTAAAATATATCTTACCTGCGGTGATTTGATTTTGTGACAGTGGCATCAACATTGAATGTGAATGATTTTGATCTAGACTGAGGTAGCCATTGATGTTCACCGATCACTCCTTGGTTACTGATGGTGATTAATGAATCATGTTGAAGGTTTATCATTGATGTGCTCTGGGAATGACCAATTTTGACATACACCAAACTTTCTTCATTGTGCAACTACGAAGAAAAATAAGAGTCAATGTGATTCAGGTAAAATTAAATTAAAGTATACTTACGTAGGTTTGGGGATTTGCAGTATTCTATACTTTGTTTTATTTTGCAAATATGCCCATTTGGTGCATATCGTGCATTGAATATCAATATATTTCCTTATGTTTTCAGTATACAATTTTAGCATAAATTAAACAAGATAGCATTGCAAACAAATAACTTATCAGCTGATAACTTCTACATTAATTTTCGATAATATATCATGCAGAATAAGTTAGAAAACACCTACTTTCACAGCATGGGCTTTCAATTGACCACTACCAGTAAATACACTATTGCCGAGATTACCAGGTATAGCACTATGACGCATGCGTAGTTCTCTGGCTTCGTCACAGTTCATACGTTTTGGGTGTGGTTCCGTGAGCAACTGTGTTGGGATCTGTCCAAAATTATTGATCATTCCTTCAGTGTACTCGCGTTCTGTAGGGTCAGTGATTGCGTCCAGGTCAATCGCTCCTGTTAAAGGAAACAAATACCTAGATCACTGTTTTGTTTTGTGGCTATTTCAGATTATAGCGACTTTGGAATTTCAAGCAGAAGATTTATTTATAATTATTTTAAAACGGTAACCCTTCAGCCAAAGTGTGATTTTCAAGGGGCCGTTTCAATTTACAAAAATATTAATTCTAAAAATTACTATAAAAATACACACGTAAACAACACAATCATGCAAGTTTTATGAATCGACATGTGCACAGGCCCAAAGTCCATAAAATTCAAACAAGTGTCATGAAATGACTTATACTGTCTTGAAGATATTGTCAAGTGCAATCTTCCAAATTCTTAAAATAGATATTAATTAAATTCTTAAATCTCGCAATAGAGAGACTAGAGATTCGTAATCAGAAACTACATCACAATGTAAGTTGTT